CAGAACAGTTATCTGTATGTGTTAGCATAAAAACAAATGCTCTGGCGAAGATACAATAATAAAGAGAAATAAATAAATTAGGAAATATTCTAGAGCAACAATAGCACGAAAAGTATAGTGCTAAACAATAACAAGGGTAGTAATACAAGAATTATTCTAGAATGGATAATATTTCAAGGGTAAATGCTAGTAGAAATCGGGCAAGGGGTAGTGATGACTTTGGATAAAAATCAAGTATAACAATATAATTCTATTGTTTGATTCCATAATTCTATAATTGATTCTCGTACAACTTGATCATATAATAATAATTATATCATGATTCTATTTTCTTTTAACATTTCACTTTCTTCAAACTTACAATAGTTTTCATTATACTCATTGTAATTGATATCTTTTTTTTTTTCAATATTATGAAAAACTTAGAATTTGGTATAAGATGTGTTACTATTTCTCATATTACAATACTGTTTATAGCAAGCAAGTATACTTATTTATAAATAAACTTTATTTATATAATAAATTTTGATGTATTTTATTTTTTTAATATTTTATTTTTATTTTATTTATTATTATATAACTTATAATAAAGGTTAGTCAAATCCAATTATCTCTTTTTTTATAAAACAAGAAAGTATTAGTAATAATATAACTAATATAACTAATAATACAAAATAGACCTGCTTAATTATTGTATAATATATTATAATCAAATTGGTTGCAAGTAACAAACTTGTTTTTGACCTGTGGGTCTATAGTGTAGTGATTAATACTCCACAGGTTAAATCACAAGTATCAGTTCAACCCCATGTGAGGGCAGTTGAATAGAATTAATATGGTACCTGGCACCATAACCTGTTAAGCGCTGTTTCTCATAAGAAGCTGTTTCACACGCTGATCCAGCAGGTGTTGAGATTGTGATTTCCTAGAAAAGATGCTGTGATGCGACAATTATCCGGTGATGTTATGACAATCATTATTCAATTTGATGCAATCCCCGGTTCCACAATAAGGTCGTTTTCCTTTCCTATAGTCTATAAGACTATAAAAAAATATAATATGGAGGGCCACAAAACTGAAAAACTGTTCAGCAAGACTTTCAACATACCCCCCTTTAGTATGAGTGACGACTCGCTAGCAATACCTACTATTCTTACCTGTAGTGAAGGTACTTAGTTGGTAACGATTGCTAGAATGGAAGACTTCTCTTAAGACTTAGCCTGACTTTGGAGGAGTTGCATTCTCTTAAATAAGCAGCCTACACTTGAAGCCTGGCATTATCTAAAAAGATTGAATCGTCAATCCCATGTTTAAAGGTATTGAAACAAACTCTGGCCAATAGGTTCCATCCGCTTTCCCAAATGGTGACAATTCGGGCCCATGGTCTTAAATAAGATAAACTAACAGGAGAAGATAGAGACACAGTACTCTGATAGGTAATTCGATTGGTGGTTGGATCTTACTGAAAAGTTTACAAATTTGAGACTGGAAGATATAGAAAATAATTGGTGCATTTAAAATAGTTCTTATAGATAGGCTGTATCTTGATAGTATACTTGTAGGTAAATTCTAATTGTAATAATTTAAGTATGAATAGAAATATATGTTACAAAAATTTATATTAATATTTTATAAAATTATAAATAAAAAATTTAAAAAATTATTTAAAACAATTAATTAATTAATAAGACAAATATTTTAAACAAAAAATTTTATAAAATAGTATAGACTTGTAATAAATTTAATATATAGTTTGTAACTTATTATATTAAACTTATAATAAATTTAGTATTAACTTGATACTGAAATGATACTATTAGAAATCTATTTAAACCTTATTAAAAATCATTAATCTATTATTAAAAAAATATAAAAAATAAAATTATCAAAATTTTTTAGAATAAAACAATTTATAATAAAAGAACAATAAAAAAATTTAAATAGTATTATAATTAATCTTATAAACTCAATAAAAAAAAATATAATTTAATTATTGAAAATAATAATGAAATATAAATAGTAAGATTTATTTAGATATATTTTTTATTAATTTCTATACAGTAGGTTTTGAGTAATAAATAAATAAATAATTTTAAAAAGTTTTATAATATATTGTAAATATATTGTCATTAATTAATTGTTATTTATAAGCTCTTGAAATAATTATAAAGCTTAGTATTAAATTAGACCTTTTGTATTTTTAACTATATTGTCAATAAATCAAAAGTTTAAGAAAATATTTTTTGTATTTTTAAAAAAGATTCAAATTGGAAAAAGTTTTTTTTTAATAAGTTTTATTGTAATATCAATATATAAAGATCATTTGTAAAGTCTACATAACAATTTTTTCAATGTTTTTTTTCTTTTACAATAAAAAATTAATCAAGATAATTAATAGAATTAAATACAAAAAGATTTTTAATGAAGTTTGTTTTGATAATTATGTTTTTAAAGAAGTCAAAATAGAAGATTTGAAAAGATTAATTCTAGTTTTGATAAATAGTTACATATGGAAATTGTCTTTTTTGTTGTTAGTAATGAAGTGCTTTATAGTAATAGCTATTTAAAGTAATTGTGTGCTTGAAGGTATTTTAAAATTAAAGTTTCTTGAAAAGAATGTTGCCATATAACAAAATTTTAAAGTGAAAAATTGATTACTGAAAATAATTTATTTTTATTTTTTTTAAAAAAATTTTGCTTATGTTAAAATAAATTTATGTTAAATTCACATTTTCACATTAGTTTAAGTCAATCTATTGATATATATAATTTATTAAAATTCTACCGCATAACAAATAAAAAATCATTTAATTATATAATATATACTATTTATCATTATTTTATTGAAAAATATATTTTTTGAAAACAAAAAAAATTATTTCAAGTCAAATATATACCTATTTATGTTTATATTTATTTTATATGTTAAACATTTATACTATTTGCAATTTTAAGTAAATTAAAAATATTGCTCTTTTGCTGGCATTTGGATCTTATATATTACAGTAAAAATAGCATTGCAATTTATAAAAAATTTAATTCCAGGAAAAAAAATTATTAATTTCTGTCAATGACTTGAAAATTTTTTGTTGTAAAAGTATCTTTTATATTTGGTGTCTCAAGTGAGTTCTGAATTTTATGTCTAACTTACCAATCATTGTATGATATCATATAAAGATCATGTTATAATAAATACTACATCAAATTTCCTATTTTATTATTATAAATTGCCACTTAAATTTAAAAAATTAATCAGCTCGACTGAAATGTAAAGACAAAACGGTAGATTCTATACTTGCTTTACAATATAAAATTTAGGACTAGAGTACTGAATTTGTGACAATATACAGATTAATAAAATTTCGGGGGATTAATTAACTTCTTTCCAATCCGGATTTTTTTCAATAAACAAGTTAGACTTTAAAGTCTAGCTTAGAATATGTTCCAGGTAACAACTCTAGGTACAAGAAGTAATATAAGATGTTATACAGTAAAACATTCCTCATGAATCAGACTGGTTCACCATTTGCCAACACGATAAAACATCAAATTTTATTACGGGATTTTTTTGAGCTAACAATGAAGATGCATTGAGAATTCAAATTGTTACAAGTTATTGGGTATTAGGTACCTGCTGTTGCTGCGATTGAAATTGCTGCGATTGACTATATTGTCGTGGTTGATTATACTGTGGTTGTTGTGGCTGTTGGAATCGTTGCTGTTGATTATATTGTTGCTGGTTTTGTTGAACCTGCTGCATATTATTATCACTAGAATTCTCATTCTTTGAATCATTATGAATCTTATAGGAGAACCCTGCTCCTAATGAGAAGGTTATCAGAAGGAACCAACCAAACACATTCGAAGCAATGTAGGCCCCACACAGAGCGTTTGATTTGTAATCCACATAAGATATCGTATCAGAATAAGCGGTGTAATAGTAACATGGATTTTCATCCCCCTTGTAGGCCCAATATAGGTTCGTAAAAACTTTATTTATAAGGAGGTTTTTGAGTTAGTAGACGTAATTTATCAACAATACAAATGAGTTAGAATTAATAATACCTTCAGTGAACCATAGTACAAAGAAGAAACTAAAGAAAAGGATACTTATGAATAAACACGAATTATGGACGTAGATACCAACAATAATTAAGTGTACTCACGCGTCAAATCCGACAAAGTAAGTTTCATGTCTCTTTTCCCAAATGTACCCCTTGGAGAATAGGGTCAAGTATGCAACTATGGCAATGTAGATTTACAATTAACAAAAAATGCTGGGATCTTTGTAGATTATTTAATAAATTCAAACTTACCGACACTTAAAAATGTAATCAACATAACAATAAACACCCAAACGACTGAACCCGCTTTTCCATACCTATATCCCGTGAAATACTCGTAAGAACCACTACCACCATATATAATATACTGATCATAAACGGAGACAAAGTACGCCGCTTGGACGATTTCTGTTAGAGAAAAATGAGGAATGTTGTTTATAACTTTGAATATGGCATTACACTTCAAGCTATTATAGTCAAGATTTTTCATACGAACCTAATATAACTATCAGACAAACAAAAAGTAATTGAGCACCTTTTATGCCCAGTAAAATGTTTTTAAAAGGATGATTCATTTTTTTGTTTTTGTTTTTACGAAAGAATTTATATGGCAAAGATATTGGTTGTAATAAACGGGAAAGCGAAATCAAATATTGAAAAAAAACAAATAAATCCAAATTAATGTAATTTAAAGATTTTAGGTTTGATATCGGAGAAAATCCGTTATCAAGTGAAACAAGATTTGCGTTGCAATAGGTATTATTCCTTTAAAAATTTTATACACAGAATATGTGCCGAACAAATAATATGAATCGCCAAACGCAAGCAATAAATTACATATGGTATATACTAGCCATGAACGATTGCTAATTTCACAGCCTATGTATTTATGACCTGACACTAAACCAAATTTGGGATGAATGTCTTGAGTAGTAAAACATTAAATAAGTGACTTAGCAAGATATATTTTGATTTAAAAAAAGTTTTTTAACCGAATGGTTTCTTGTCATTAAATTTCATACAATTAACAATATTTTTTTCATAATATAAAAATAGGGACCTCGTCTTCAAAATAATTGTCTGCATTTTTAATAGTAGTGGAAATAACATAATTATGTTATTTCGACTTAGTTTAGGTTATCGTAACTCGGGTGTTTTGCGTGACTTATTTTTTAGGACATATATTTTATAACACATTGATAAGTATTGTAGACGGTTTGTATATTCTTTATAAAGTCAAATTTGATATCAATGATTTTTTTAGTCACTTAAATGAATTTCGTGTATCTATTGGATGTTTCTGATTGATTCATTGTAAAGAGATATCCGATTTAGGCTATGATGCCCTAGTCTAATCCTTTTGCGTTTTTCTTATAATCCAAATTCGATAATGATAATTGGATTTCAGTTTAATGTTTCTGATTGATTTTCTTTAGAAAGAACTCAGTGAAGTAGGTTATGTTATCTGACAATCACCCCTTCTACATTAAGCCCCAATTCCTTTAGAGAACTTAATTCGATAACGATATTTGTACGACATATCCTGCAGTCTCGTTGGCCTTATTGCCAGTTCCATGACTTGATCAAAAGGTAAATGGGAGAATATATGTTATCAGCTATATTGCATACATTCTATCTGGACGTGCTATACTCATACTATTAAACATATATGCGCAATTGCTATCAAATATGTTACTAGGTATGCTATATACATTGCTATATACACATCAGGTTATGCTATCAAATACTCGTTGCGTAATTGTATAAAGTATGCTATTGGGTATATTATATACATTATATCTGGTGTCGTGGGCAAAAAGGTGATCATGGTAACGCGATATGTGTCACGTTAGGTAATTAGTGTTGTTGTAGGAAATTAGTGTGGGAGAATTTAAAGGCGGGAATTTCTAGAATAGCATAGAACAGCAACCATATGTAAACATGTAAACAATAAGCGCATGTATAAATACATGTGCAATTCAGTAGGATGTAGACGGATTTTGGAATTTAGTTTAGAGTTTAGAATGCCTTAAGTAATAAACAATAAAGTAACGTTTAAGAATAAACACCTACCTTGTGTTTAGTGTGCCAAAGTAGACTTGTAACTTGGGCTACACGACTGCGAGAGAGGACCAAGGTTTTTCCTAAGGGAATTGGCATTGGAAGGGTTCTAGGTTAGTCGGCAGAGAAATTAAAGTGAGAGAACGGCCAAATCGGAAACACGCCTCAAGAGTTAGGAAAACCTACCTTATTGTGAACCGAACAAAGCGAGAAGCATTGTGGGCTTTCCGGATAGCCCACGACACTGGGCAAGCTATTTACATGTTATCGAGTATGAAATCAACCTACTTACTATTTAATTTCCTGGTGTGACTATATGACCTAATACTATATAATATGCTCAATAAATAAAAATTATTATATTGAGTTAAGTTGGTCAATGACACAATGTTCGAAACCTTTCACTGTTGTTATTTGGATTGATGGCATATGCTTGATTGATAGTATTATGATCCTAATTTTCCTTTATATAAATTGTCATATTGGAATTAATAAATGCAAATTTGTAATCTCTGTTTCCAATTTCCTTTCCTAATAAAATCACAAAAATTTATTTCTATGTACGCTTATGTAAAATTATTTTTACACAAAACCTATAGGTTATCTTCTTTTGCACATTTATATTTGGTACAGATCAATATTGAAATCATTGGAATTTATCATATTAGGAATTATCTCAGTATATCCAGCCACAACCAAAACCAGAATACATTGGTATGCAGAAAGGATTGGTGCATTGCACTCAGTTGTAACTTGAGAGCCTTTCTGAAGAGCATTAAATTCCCACACTCGGAATTCTCTCACTCCTTGACGCCAGAGCTTAGCCCACCAATAAATACGAAAAACCCTACAACCATAAAATCACAGCTCTGGCTAATGTGGCCACCAGATATGTGAATCAACGAACAAATGTTGGGAAGCAGGAATTTTATCAACAAATCAAATTATAGAAGTAATATGAATCTAAAACAAAGAGAAAAGGTTTTTTTGTCGAAAACTTGTGGTTTATATAAAATCAATTGTTGCATAGGTTAATGCACTAATTAAGTTGAAAGTGAAACTGGAAATCTCGCGCAAAATTCATGTGTAATGATGCTTTAACACCTTATCCGTTTATATTATATAAAAATACATAATTCTGAAACCCCTTTAAAATTCAAGTAAACTCGAGCTTACAGGCGCGTAGTAATCGCGTATAATATTACTATGCTTTGTAAATATTTTGGTTCATGCCAAAATTTTAAGTATATCATCTAGATATTGGTGGCTCCGTAACGGTTCTAACTTATTTATTTTTTCTTTACCAACCGTATCAAGAAGCTTATAAAGTTTTCGGACTTTTTCGGTTATTTTACGAAGAGGCCTCCTTTGTAATTATGTTAGGAATCTGGGTACGAAACTTGAGATTGAGAAGAGCACTAGACACGCTACCATTATGAATTTTTAAGCTCCTTACGTCGTTCTTCTAAAGCTTTGACAAAGTCAAAATACCGGCTAATTGGTTCTCGATTCGTAGTACAGTATCATTTTCGATTCAGCATGGGTGATCATACTAAAGAAATATAGAGGCTGAGCTTCACCACTGGATTTCTTATTGTCCTTCTCTTCAGAAATTTCAAAAATATCGTCAGACAATTCTTTGATGAGTCTTTTCAGAACACCGATCCTTTCTCTTCTTTCTCATCTTTTCGAGGTTTTTTATTGAGCCTGACTTCCATCCACCTCATATTATACTTCTTTTCTTGGTGTAAAAATTGCACTTTTGAACCAATAAAAAAACGACTACAATCTGGACAACATAGATCTGGTTTATTTGGAAGAAATTTCTTAACGTATGTTCGATGGACCACGTGTCCGCGGTTTAGAATAGTACTGTAATCGGTATGGGGGTGTCGAAAGAATTTTTCCGTTACAGGATATACAGGGTTTCTGCTTAGGAATTATGGTATTATTGAACTTGATTTTGTCTGATTGTTTTAGTATACTGTATTTTGTGCGAAGATTTTAATTGATCAATCACGATAGAAATTAGTAGAGGCTATTATATCGGCTTCAGTCAAATAATTTCGAATCCGGTCAACTCCTCTAGCGAATCTATGGTTTATAAGATGTCTTAATAAGTAAACACTGAAGGCCAAGTACATTATATAGTATATATTGTATGTACAGTAACATACAGTATATGACTAATAATTAGGATTAAAAAAATCTGTATACTGTATCACGGGTTGACCTGCATTTAAAGTTGGTTCGGGATATATTGGTCCTGTAAAAAAATATATGTAATTTCTTATTAATTTTAAAAATGTATTGTATAAGTTTTATTCTACGGCAATATTTAATAATTTTGTGATTTGCGAATTTAATAAATTTTTATATGATAAAAAATTAAATTAGTTTTGTCATTGATGAATCCGCCATTGTTGATTGTAATATATAAAATGAGAGCTTGAAAATTGTTATTATGTTAAAAATCTTTAATAAGAACAAAAGAATGATACATCCGTTCATAAAGGAAAGGACAATTTTCTCTATGAAAATATCCGAGTAATATATACTGTAATAATAAATTATGCTCAGACTTACTGGATTCTTTAATGCCAATAATTTTGTTGATAATCTATTTTCTTAACTGAGATACTTTCTTGTTCCATCTCCTGATTTTTCATTATTTCTTCGTTTATCATTTTTATTTCATTTGCTATTTCAGTAAAGATTTTAATGTATTCCTTCGAGATTTTATCCTCCTCGAGCTTATTGTTGAATCTGTTATTACTATTTTTTTCAATTATTTCTTTCTTCATTTTTGCAATTTCATTTTTCATTTCGTTTAATGTTTTGAAGTTTTCATGATTAGAACTTATCATTGAAGTCATGATTTTATTCTCTTTAAGTTTAGTAAGCCATCCGTCAACGTCTTTAGTGGAAGCTTCATAGATAATAGTCCAAGGTGGATGGCAAGGATAAGAATCACTAGAATCATAATATTGGTATTGGTAATTTCATTTCCTCCACCTGTGACATATCAAAATGAGCATGTATACATACCTAAAAAAAATCTCAATATCTGCAATCATCGTTGCTAGTTCCATAATCCATATAGTGCGTGCCTTTTTATATGTTTCCTTATAGGAATCATTTATTAGCGCGACTATCATCAAAAAAGAATGTTAGTTATCGCAAAAAAAAAAAAAAAATAGTAGAGATTTTTTTTCCTACATACTTAAAATATTAAACATTATGATTGCTGTGCTTAACGAGAAAACAATCATAAAGATATCGAGCATGTAGTTTTGTGTCCATGGTCTCAGAGAATCATAATTATTAAGAAGCATCGACCAGGTATTTTTGAAGGATTGATAAAAACCCGTAAATGTATTAGATCCATTATCAGGCAAGGTATCTGACAAGAGGACCAGTAGTGTATGAGAGAAGGATAGTAGGATAAAGATTAGAATTAAAAGTAGCCACTTGATTTTCCAGAGGGTATTTTTTAAAACTTCGGATCGTAAAAAAGATTAGTAAGTAAATTTCTCAATATTCGGAGTACATAAGTCGAAAAGTTCTTACCGGCAATAAATATACCAATACCCTCAAAGGCACGAAATTGAAAAAAGATATAAACCCACAAAAATAAAATAGAGAGCGATTGAAGCTCGGGAGGTGCATTTCCTCTAAGAATATATAGAAACCCGGAAACAAAAGGAAGAATCAATGCTGCTGATTCGATAAAGATACTGAGAAGGTTACTATTTGTCTTGAATTCAATACACGTTGCTATGCTTACAAAGGTTCGCCTAAACCAAAAATATGCCCAAACTCCCCCATTAAACATACTTATAATCATCAGCAAAAAGCTAGCAAAAGGGTTACTTGAAACAATACTATTTGCTGCCACAAATAGGCAAAAGTAAGCCATGTAGTAAAATAAAATTAATAGATATAATAGGGTTATATTGTCGCCCTCGTATTTATAGTTATGCCATATGTACATAATAACGGCTTCGAAAAGTGGAGATTCAAAAACTTCTAAAGGTCGAAGAAGGGTTAATTTAGTAAACGGACTAAAATCATCAAATTTTGGAAAGAATTTATCTCTGTTTGGTTTGTTAAATAGGTTATACAATGGTACGTGACAGTACGTGGCAGAATGCGAATATTTTTTCTCATAAAAAGAATAGAAATTAGATTTCAAACTTTCTGCTTTTGTAAAACAGTTAAATTCACAACCATAAAGATTTGAGTGATTCGATTCCACCTTTTCATCCAAATCTATATTCCACTTTGACGGAACCTTCATGTTAGTACACTGATCTAAAAATATAGAAAGTATTTGCGGATAATGAATTGCAAGTTGTGGAAGGGCATCGACAACTATGGACATAAATCCTGGTTCGTTCTCACGAAAATAGCAATTCAGACAGTATTCAAGTATCTTCCATACTAAAGAAATATTCTGACACCCTTTTTTTTTTCTTTTGATCACTTTAACTAGTATGTTTTCACTATGGATCCCCGTTGGTATATAATGCTTCTCATCCAAGATGTTCTCTACTATTGCATCAGCATCAATACTATTACTTTCGATAAGGTCACCGACAGCTGTTGTGCCATTAAATACTTTATGATCCACATATCGTTTAATAGTATTCAGCAGTATCTCACTAATAGAACTTGACCTTTTAGAGTTGTTAAAATAATATTTACAACTCGATTGCATCCATTCAGCAGATAAATTCTTACCCTCTTTGACTAAATCTAGAGGCAGAGAAGTGCAAAACTTCTTATCATCACTATAGATCCGTAAAATGCTATTTTGATATAAATATTGGAACGGGCGTGATAAACTAGTTGAAGGCTTCCATACTAGGCATCTAAGGTGACTGTTATCCTCGCTATCCTTCCAGAATAGGAATAAACAATCCGAAGTAACATCATCTTTAATATCGAAGCCAGCGATACTTACTTCTAAACTATCAATGTCAGATACGCTAAAATCAATTTCTTCGATTAACCGACTTTCCTCTGACTGACTGCAAAAAACATCTTCCCAACGCCATTTCTTGATAGTGGTCTCGTTATTTGAGATCACAGCTATAATATCGTCTTTAATAAGTTGGATATGTTTTAATTGGCCTGATTCAAGTTTATCCAATATTGTCTCAGAATCTAATTCGATGCCTGAATAGGAATCAAGCAATTTCAATTTGATTTCTAATAAAGTTTCGTCAAAATATATTATAAGTAAATGTCGATTATCATTCACGAATAGAAGATCTTTCTTGTCCGATATCACGTTATGTTCCGCAATATGCAAACCAGTATGCCTTTCCACGATAGGACCATTTTCGAAGGCAAGTAAGTTACCTGTGGAAGAAACGATGGCATTTTTTCCAACGCATGACTTTTCTTCTATAATATTTGAAATATGTGAAAGAGTAAATATGCCAACTTCATATATATCAATAAACTTTCCTCCATGCCAGGGGAGGAGAACATAGCTTTTGTGCTCTGTCCGATTAAAAGCAAAGGTTGCCTTTGTTCCGTCACATAATCTCTGTTTATAGAACAGTTTCCAGGGCCAGAATTCGACTGACAAATATTGGATAGCGTCATCATATTGGATGGCAAGTGTTTCGCCATCAGCAAGGAATTCAGCGCTAATAAATTCTTTGTTCTTAACATCCATTAAAATACCTTCTTCAAATTGCGATTGACCTTCATCGTTTGGCAAAACTACGAACTCAACTTTGGTTTCGTTTGAAACATTTTCCGGTTGCAAGTTTATGGACACGGCATCGAGTTTACCTAACACAACTTGAGCTTCATCTGAGACAGTCTCATGTTGTATATTTACAGTTCTATTAGTTGCGGAGTCACTTTCCAAACTTAAAAATATGAACACAGATTTGTTTTTGTTTTCTACAGCTTCCGCTTCATCCGAATAATTTTCTTTGCATAGACAGGATAGGATAATGAACCGTATATATTTTGAATTTGATCTTGACTCTGAAATAGGTTTGTTGATCTTTTTGAAAATATGGAACGGTAATGAGAAAAATCCTTCACCGGTCCATGAAAATACTTTAGAGATTATCCTGTCAACCTTGTTTCTGAATCGTACGTAATTCGGTGGAATTAACTTCGAGATGGTCATGTTAATTTTACCATTAATGGGAACCTTCTTGAGATTAATCTTTACAGAACCATTACAATTGGAGTCGATATAATAATATCGTAATAAAACTGTCTTATCTGACTCATCAAAACTTGCGATTGCGATAAAATCGTTATCTTCAGAAATTGAAACGGTGATTTCCGTTTCTATAGAGAAAGATTTCACGGATTCTATGTCAATTCCCAAAGACGTTATTGAATCAATATCTGTATTCATAATGTAGTGATAATGGACTAAACAAATTTACTGCTGTGTATTTATGACTTACAATTTTCATGCATAAAATGTGTAAAACTGTGTTTCGAATGAGTCTGAAATTTACAGTTTGAGTCAGATAATTTGCTTACGTAATAATTTCGGGTCGGGTCAAACTGGTCAGAACCCGTTTGATCCGAAAATAATCATTTATTCATAACGGTAATTTTTACACAGAAACCAAGGATATACCTGTATATTAGAAATTTCAGGGATTCTACTCGCTCGACCGGTCATTTTAAGCATTTGTTGTGTCAATATTTAAGCGACGTTTCGTGTTAGTGGCTACTACAATGTTTGATTACAAGTAGCCTAACAAAAAATCCAATGCAGACCAAGTCTTGAGACAATTTGGTTAGAATAATGTTAAGCAAATTTTATTTTACCTAATACAGCATCTATTTAATGTAAAAAAATTTTGTTTGAATAAAATTGATAATTACTACACTATATATTTTGAATAGTTTAAAATCAAGTTCAAATCAGACTTATTATTTCCGATATGTATGTAAATTGTTTTAAAACAATTGATTTTATAATGCCACATTATTTTCGTATTATTATTTATTTGTTATTTATGAAATTATAAGTTCAAAATTATTATAAGAAGGAATAAATATAATATCACATAACCATCTACTTATCAATATCTAACTAATATTGTAAAAAAATCCAAAATCAATATTAATGTGCTAAATAAGACTGAGTAGTGGGTATGCCTACCATCCCAGGAAATTTTGCAAATTCTTTTGATTTTTGGATATAAAAAATTGAAAAGAAAAATAAAATTAACTATAACTAAAACTAAATCAAATATACTATGTAATCCATGCGTTGAATGAAAAAATTCCTTGGTGAGCTTGTGGTCCCAACTCTCCAGATCTTTGCATGCTATAGATAATAGAGTACACATGATGTTGTTTGTTGTTATGGTTATTGGTGATAAATTATTTGTTGTTGTTGTAATCCTTGTTATGGTACAAAACCGGTTTGAGCTTGTTTAGTTTTTGTTTTGATCATTAGACAAAATCTGATTGGATGATTGAAGAGTGCTGATCATCTAAAGGGAGTAAACTGATTTCAGTTTTTTGAGGGAGAAATTTTTGAAGGATGAAAGTGGCACAGCAAATATTGCTATGAGAATATTGTGTATGAGAGTTGACTTTAAACAAACTGTAGACCCACTAACTCTGAGTGTGTGTTTTGGAAAGTATTTGGTTTAGCGAGTATTATAATAAGAATGTGAATAATTTTTATAATAGAATAAAGGTAAGAAGTAATGCAAAAGAACTGAAGAAAAGAAAACTGCTACAGGCCTTTCCTCATGCAACCAAAGAATAAGCAAAAATTCCAAACTTGAATAGACTTTGACCAGAGGTCCCATCCTACTGCACCAGTTATCTTGAAGATTCTTGAGTTTCTGAGCTGGGGCTTACTTGCGATAAAGAGAGTAAAACATTTTTCTTGCTTAAAATTACTATAAAAAGAAAATTTTTAACAAAATAAACGTGATTAGAAGAGAGTTTTTTTAAAAAGATGTTTGAATTATAATATTTTTATATATAATAAATAATAAAGATATAAAAGAAGTGTTATATTTGTCAAAACAGTTATCTGTATATGTTAATATAAAAACAAATGTTCTGACAAAGATAAAAGAATAAAGATAAATAAATAAAATAAAAAATATTCTAAAGCAACAATAGTATAAAAAGCATATAAGGCTTCTCTAACTATCAAGATTCTATATCTAGAAGAAGCACTTTTGCTTAAGAAAGTATAAGCAGATCAAGCCTATATATATAAGTAGTATTACTAAAAATTTTGAAAATTTTATTAACTTTTAATAGATACTATCATATATTATCAACATTTATTAACATTTATTAGTTTTAGTTATATTTTCTATAGAATACTTTCTTCTTTTTACCAAGTATTCTCAAAATATCTATATAGTTTTGAATGGCGCAGTAAATTAGAAGCACTGTATCTCAAAAACCAAGTTTTGAAGCTTCTTGGAAATTCTAAATAACTATTTGCAGAAAGACTAGAAGAACAACTTTTGTTAAGATTTCAAAAGCGATCATCTTATTGATATTCTGAGTAATTTTGCTTTTTATCTTACAGATAAGAATTTTCTTTGATGATCATTCTAAGTGTAACAAATAATTCTCTAGCCAATTCCTTTGTGTAAATAAATGAACCACACATAAATAATTAGATTAGAGGTGACCAACAATTGACCAAAACATTATAAAAAGGCTGCAATTTCCCCCAGCTGTGAAAAAAAGAACAATTATCATAATTATAAAATTCTAAATTCTTATATTTTCTTTAACTTTCTTTTAATAAAATTATATTTATTCCATATTTTTCTTTTATATTTTCTATTGTTTTTCTATTGAAAATCAATATTTTTATATTGTTATCTTTTAATTTCAATATCAGTGCAGAGTTGTGAAATTGACTGAAACAATAATTTTAAATTGTTCATATTAATTTATTTAATAGTGTTTGAAACAAAACATATGTTGAATACATTAAATCATTGAGAATTGAAAATTATTTTTATCGGTAATTTTGAAGTCGTCAAGGGAGAAACTAAAATTTTCAATATATTTAATTGTAAATTTTATCTTCTTTTGACTTTATTTGATATTTCTTTGAATATCTTCTTTTATTCTTCTTCATTCTGTTTCTATTTATTTTATAGAAACATTCTGTTCACTGCAAGTCTAAATTGGCACAATTCTCATTTTGCTCTTCCAAGGCAATAATAGTAGTCTGAGACAAGAACTAGAAAGGTCTGGGCAACCAATCTTTTTCTTGCAAGGCTCTGTATACATCTAACAATCACAAGTTAGAGTATAATTATGTTTTTTTTTTTATTCATTTACCCCTTCCTCCAACTTCTCTTATATTCTCTCTTTAGACAGTTTTTTCTTTCTTTCTGAAATTTTTTCTTTTTAGAATCACTCATTTCAATCTTTATTATATTATATTACTCTATTGTTCTTAATCATATTGGAAATAATTTCTTCCTATCAAAGATAATAAGCTTTCTTAGTAAAAACTTATTTTTGAATACTTTAATCAATAGATACATATTACTCCACACTACAAATCCAAAAACTATAATTAGTTTCTCCCCTTCAAAAGATTGGCAGAGAATAATTATATTATATTAGTCACATGGCTTCCAATATAAATAGAATTATAGCTATCTCACAACCACATACTAATTTAATTAGGCAACTTTGAAAGGGATTATAGTACAAATATAAATGAATAGAATGATACTAATGGCAACTTTATAGGAGTTGCATACTGCTTTGATATTTATACCTCTAGATTTGGCAGCTTAAATCAACTAAGAGCACACGGAGTATCTGCTAAAGAGTTTATAAGTTATATTTCATAAGATCTAATAATCTTCAGATTTGATAGTATATGCCAACTATAGGAAAAACTCTTAGAGCATTTACTAGAAAGTGTAAAAAAGTAAACCCATAAGTATTATGACAGTATAAGTCAAAGGTGTAAATATGATAAGAAACTTAGTAATGATTAATATGCCAAAATCATAACTAGACCTTAACACAAGCCATAATATAGGCATACTCATAATGTGATAGTTGATATATTGATAAAATTGCAATAGGCTAAAATTAATTTACTTTATATAAAAATTTCTTAATATAATAGTTATTAAAATATAAAGTTTTGTATTTAATGCTTGTTTGTAATTTTTAAAAAAAAACAATAGCATAAAAAGTATAGTACCAAACAATAAAAAGAATAATATTACAAGAATTATTTTAGAATAGAAAGTATTTCAAGAATAAATGCTAGTGAAAATTAAACAAGAAATAGTAATAATCTTGGACAAAAATCAAATATAACAATATCAATAATCAAAAACAATTTTTATTAATATATAAAATATATATAAATCTAGAAAGCTATCTTTCACTATTTTTTGATAATTTTTTGATCCTTGCACTCTTACTGGCTGAGGAATTATCAACTATTATTCAATCCTTTAATAAATTGACAATAATTTCTATTATTTATCTTATATTATTTCTAAGTATATTGTATTTTCTTTGACTATTGTTTTTAAAAGATTTATTTGATATTTACTTTCACTGATACAATAAAGCTTGTCTGTAATAAAAACAATAAAATACCAATCCATACCTAGCATAGTATTTAGTTAAAATGTGATTAAATTCTAAAATAAAAAAGAAAAACCAATAAAAAAAAATTTTTACCTGTAGATACAAACTCATAAAGATAATCATACTTATTGTTTCCAAAAGCTTGATCTGCTGTATATTTCTTTTTTTTATAGAATATGCACTTTTGAGTTGCATAATATTTTGAAGATAATCATTTTTAATATTATATGGCTTGCCTTCTGTGATATATATAAGATCTTCTTTTTTCTTAATCATATAGTCAATACAATCAAATGCTTCTTTACTAGAGACATTTTTCTACAATAATATATAGAGCTTTTCTTTTTTGATAAGTCTTCAAATAATAACATGTAATGCATGTAATATAAAAGAAATAAATTCATAGCAGGTAGCCTCATTAGTATTTGTAATTATCTCAATATTTGTCAAGATTAATATAATGTCTGCTATACAATATTTAAATGCTTTACCATTATCATCAATTTTTATGAAATCTATAAACAAAAAAAATATTAGTTTGTATTCAATAACTAAATTTGTGAGATCACATAGTCCGGAAAAAATATCAAGAAAAATATAATATACCTAGAATGAATTATTTGATATTCATTATATTATTATTATTAACTTTATAATAACAAAGCATGTTCTTTAACTTTTTCAATATTTTATCTAAAGAAAAGCTATATAATTTTTGTTTCAGACCTTCAATAAATTTTGCAAGTCTTGTAGCCAACCCCCTTTTCAAATTATAACTAT